TTACACATACAGTGTTCTGTCTACATGCCAGAAGAGGGCACCAGATCTCACTAGAGATGGTTGTGAGCCACCATGTGGTTGCTGGGGATTGAACTCGGGACCTCTGGAAGAACAGCCAGTGCCCAGTCCCCCCCCCCCTTTTAAGATTTATTTATTTATTTATTACATGTAGTGTTCTGTCTGTATGTATACATGTAGGCCAGAAGAGGGCACCAGATCTCATTACAGATGGTTGTGGGCCACCATGTGGTTGCTGGGAATTGAACTCAGGACCTCTGGAAGAACAGCCAGTGCTCTTAACTGCTGAGCCATCTCTCCAGCCCCCTAGGTAGTAGTTCTAATTTTAATCTTGAGGGGAATCTTAATATTGATCCCCCCTTTTTTTTTCGAGACAGGGTTTCTCTGTGTAGTTTTGGTGCCTGTCCTGGATCTTGCTCTGTAGACCAGGCGGGCCTGGGACTCACAGAGATCCCCGTGGCTCTGCCTCCCAAGTGCTGGGATTAAAGGCGTTTGCTGCCACCACCGCCGCTGCCGCCGCCGCCGCCGCCGCCGCCGCCGCCGCCACCACCACCACCACCACCACCACCACCTGACTATACTGATTTCCATAGCGAATGGGTTATAATAATTTACATTCCCATCAGCAGAATTTCACTCCTCCCTAGTGTGACTACTATTTTAAATTCCACGGGTGGCCCACATATTTTTATTGGACAGTATTAATCTAGAAGGCTCTAAAGATTAGAAAAAATGGGAATGGGGGGGGTGTTGTTTGTTTGGTTTTGTTGTTTTGATACAGGGTCTCATTATGTAGCCCAGGCTGGCCTTGAATTCAAGATCCTCCTGCCTTAGCCTCTCAAATGCTGGAGTTATGAGAGCGTGCCTCTTTGGCCCAGGGAAAGGCAGGGGAGGCCTAAGGGGGCTGTAAATTAATCGCATTTAAGAAAAAGTAACACAGAGTCGAGGTGGTCGCTCCAGGATGTCTGTCATTTGCAGTGTCAAATACACTTAAAGTCGAGTCTCCTGGACCCAGACCAAGAATCTACCTTTGGTCCGTCAAAGGGATGAAGGGCGAGTGGTCTGATCCTGGGCTTGAGGCTGCCACCCGGGTGCAGAGCTCTGAGGGTCCGGGAGCACCATTAACCCGATTACAAGCACTCCTACCAAGTGGAAGCAAAGCCTCCCCAGTTCCCCTTCCAAGGTAGCCTGCTTTAGAAAAAGGATTAAGCATCAAACTGGTGCTATTTCGTCAAAACAATAGTTTCCTGAGAAATCTTCAAGAATATCGGAAATGGTTGGAAAATGTTTAAGCAGCAGCCAGATTGCGGGACTTTTCGCCGCTACTGGAATTCTATTGAGACCCTTTGGGCTCTGACATCTTTCCAGCCATCTTCGATCTTGGACAGATTCACTACCTCGGCAGTTTCCGGAATTGCTCGGCATAGACTCGAGAATGTCGCTCTCTGGCGGCGAGGTTCGGAAGGGGGTAGGAGAGGTAGCGCGCGCAGACGCAGTTGAGTGCCGGCGGCGGTTCGGACCGGATGTAGTTGCACCTGAGATCACTTCCGGCGGGTGACGGTGCGGACGGGTCAGGAGCGTAGAGGCGGCGGCAAAATGGCGGCGCCTGAGGAGCAGGATCTAACTCAGGAGCAGACCGAGAAGCTGCTGCAGTTTCAGGTAGCAGCGAGTTCTCGGTGCAGCAAAGGCCGCCGCGGGATGGGGAGTGGGGCCCTAGAGGAGCGCAGGGTCATCCTCAGGTTGGGGTTGGGCCCATTTTCAGACCGGCAGGCGGCCCCCTCCCCCCCGACGCCAACTGCCCGGATTTCCCCGGCCCCCAGCCTCTGTCGGTACCCAGCCTTCCAGCCACTGCTGCCAGCCGGGCTCGACCAGTGGGTCAGCTGCCGTAGTCTCCCTTGGCGGCGCGGGTCCGCAGTCCTTGCCAGCCTGGCTAGCCCGCCAGACCCTCTCCGCCCATCGACTGTTGATGTGCTAGGGATCCTAAGTCCCCATCGCAGAGTTGGCGTCAGCTCGCGGGTCTGGACCGCCGACCACCGGCCCGTGCTATTGACAGACGTGTGCTGAGGGGCTCTCGTTACTAGGGCTTGTGTTGAGGGCTGTAGTAGGGAAGGACGCACCTACACACAGACCTGGCACCTGCCCTAGAAATGTGGGCGGACGCCTCATGCGGAAAATAATGCAACATTAAGTACCATCGATGGCGTCTGACTGGATTTGTTACCTTCGGCTTTCTCCTGAACTGCTGATTATGCTTGAGGAGGGTGGCAACTTGCAGGACTCGGCCTCCTATTAGTGGATGTTAAACAAAATAAAGGGGCGGGGCGGGGGGGGACTGTAAACACTTAACCGAGGTGGAGGAGACCACCGTGGTGGTAACCATGGCATTATTAGCCAATTGCCTTAGTTCTTAAATGAATGACTTCAAAATGTCTGTTCCCTTGAGGATGTTTTGGAGGTAAACTACAGTTTGTGGATGTTACAAGGCATTAAAAAGACTTTGTAAACAGTAAAATGTGCCTGAACAGTTGCTGCTGTCAATGAACATTTAACTTCAGGTAGAACTAAAGTTAATAGAACTCGTTTCCTTGTAGGAAAGGTGCTAACTATTCATTTTGAGCAGTTTTTTTTTTTTTAATGAAAAATCTTAGTGACAGACACTGCTAGTTAGACTACCGCCCGCTAACTATTTGTGCTGTTGTGAGGCCATCACTAACGTTTAGCATGGTACCTTGTTTAACACACAGCCCTATGGCATTCGTACTGTGACAATCCATGTCTCATACATGGATATGGATTATTAAGAAGTAGCACCAGTGAGTGTGGCCCGAGACTGTAATCTCTGGGTACAGGAGGTGGAAGCAGGGGGATTCCGAGTTTGAGGCCAGCCTTTTCCAAACAAGGAACAAACAGCTTGCTTAGGGCACACAGCTAATAAATGGTGGTGTCACATAAGCACAGTCTTCTCTGGGCCTTTGGTGGGCTTTGGTATCTCTGCTGTACGGTCTGTGTTAGAGTGTATAGTTAAGAGTGGGCTGTAACTGCTGTGATGGTGTGTGTGTGTGTGTGTGTGTGTGTGTGTGTGTGTGTGTGTGTTTAAGCAGTGTGCTGGGCGTGTATAAATGGTAAAATACTATCATAGACTTAGTTGCTATTTGAGTGGAGTTTATAATAGAGAAATTAATGACACCGGATTAGAAATAGAGAAAGAAGAGACAGCCTTCGGTTCTTTGTAGACCACTACTTTCAGGGTTTATTTAACTTGCACAGACTACACTTGACAACTCTTAGGGTAAGCCTCTTGTGAAATGAGGTATGAGTTGTAAATTGTGGTGACTTAGAAGTACATGTGTGAATATATGGCAATGTTTGTGAGACAAAGTGCTTAAGGAATTCCTGGTCTTCAGTGGACATCGTCAGAAGAGAGGTGGCTAGCAGCTTAATAATAGTGTAGTAAGATGAATTAAGGTCATGTCAGGATTTATGAAGTTGAATTTATTAAGAAAATGCATTTTGTAGTTTTGTGTTCTGTAAGCAAGTGTGGATCAGATTTATCATCTCAGACTGTTGCTAAATATTGCTTGACATTTACAAATGTCAAGCATTATAACCTTAAACTAATTTAGAAGACTGTAAAGGGTTAACTGCCATTCTATTACTGAAGAAAACAGGTATGAGAGGTCAGATAATGCAAAACAGTGCCTTGCATATATCTAGAAATCCACATTCACAAGTATCATGTTCATATCCTAATGTTGAATCCAGGGTACATAACATGAATACTAGGAGTGCCTAGAAAGCTCTCTGGGGCGTGTGTCTGTGTGTGTCTGTATGTCTTTGTCTTTGCTGTTGGAGTTTAGGGAAGGAGTAAACTTACTGATGTTGAAGGGAAGGAAGAATGGCTTAGAAGTTAATATTTGTTACCTACTATGCCTTATGGTGATGTATAACCGTTATGCTTAATCCACACAGTTACCTCATAACACAAATGGTGTTCTGCCTTCTATCGTTATCTGGTAAAGAAACAGGTTTGTTGATTTATTTGCTCAGGTAGTGGAATTCCAGAGGCTCTAGCTCTGGACTGAACGGCCGAGCTCTTAGTGCAGTGCTTTTCAGTTTTGAAGGAGGAATCGAATTTCAGCAGGTGGTGGGCAGGAGGATGTTCGAAGCTGAGAAAATGGGCTTCTCACATGGAGATGGGCAAGTGTGGCTGTGTTGGGAGGGAAAAGATGACCGGCGGAGAGCCAGACTTTGAAGACCTAGCAGTGCAGTGCTCTCAAGTCTGTGGTGGAGGCAGTCATGAGAGTGTTTTAACCAGGGAGGAACAACACTAGGTTTGGCGTTTGCTTCTCTAGCAATAGGGGTCATGTGCTTAGGATCTCCACGGGTATCAGACTAGAACAGGGTGGCACTGCTGAGGGCTAGTTCTCAGTGTGCCCACATTTCACGGATCACCATTGAGCAGGCATGGTGGTTCATACCTGTAGTCCCAGTGCTAGCACTTGAGAAGCTAAGAGGATTTCTACAGGCTGGGCAGTGGTGGCACACACCTTCAGTCCCAGCACTGGGGAGGCAGAGGCAAGCGAATCTCTGAGGCCAGCCTGGTCTACAGAGCTAGTTCCAGGACAGTCAGGGATACACAGAAAAACCCTGTCTCGAAAAGCCAAAAGGGAAAAAAAAAAAAAAGCATTACTGTAGGCCAGCCTATGAGTGAATTTCAGGTTACCATTCAAGGTGAGGTCTCAAAGAGCTTAAATAAATGAATTAGTAAAAATTAAAGCATTTCAGGAAATCTGAGATTTCTTATGTTTCTTTTTGTGACATATGACTGGGTTAGATATCTCTCTCTCTCTCTCTCTCTCTCTCTCTCTCTCTCTCTCTCTCTCTCTCTCTCTCTCTCTTTTGTTTGCTTTGAGACAGGTTCTCTATGTAGACCAGGCTGGCCTCAAACTCGGAGATCCTGGCGCCTCTGCCTCCTGAGTGCTGGCATTAAAGGTGTGGGCCACCTTGCCTAGTCTACACAATGTATCTTGATTATATTCATCCCCACTTCTCTCCTCAACCAGACATCTCCCAACACATTCCCTTCCCACCTTGATGTCTTTTTGGTAATTGACTAAGTTCATTATTGCTGCCTGCTGTCCTGTTGACCTGTCCAAGCTTGATTTTGTGTTGGTGGGTTGAAGTGAGTTCATGAGTACGAGGGCCGTGTCCTGTCTAGACAACAGCACTCTTCAGCTCTTCACAGTCTTTCTGTTCCTTCTGCAGTGTTCCCTGAGCCTGGTGGGAGGAAGGGAGTTGATAGGAATTTCCTATTTAGAGTTGAGCACTCAATAGTCAACTATTCTCAGCCCTTTGACAGTTATGGGTCTCTGTATTAACTGCTGCCCATTTCAGAAAAAAACTTCCCTGGCCAAGGCTGAGAGTAGCACTAATCTATGGATATAAACGTAAACATTTAGAAGGCAGTTGGACAGCATGCCATTCAGCAGAACAACAGTACTAAATTCCCTGCTAGAGCCAATGATCTGAACCGGGCTTTGACCAATCTTATAGTACCAGGCATGACTTTACTCTGTGGAGTAGGTCTCAAATCTAGTTAGGAAGTAGTTGGTTACCTTTAAACAGTCAAGCCTCTATTGCATCAGTGGTCATACCTGGCCTGGCAAATTAGTATTGTAGCACATAAAGTTCAGCACTGAGTTAAGACCACCCCCAGTGACCTGCATAGCATCTTCTGACACTGTAGAAGCTAGTAAGCCATTGGCTAGCCAGTAAGGAGGGTGTTTTCTAACCAAGTTCCAGTTTTATTTCTCTGTGTCCTTTACTCAAAGTGTGCTGTGGATTCAGCAATAGGATCTTACCATCTAGTTATAATGGGCAACAAAAAACTGCCTGCAACTCCAGTTCCAGGGGTCTGGCGCCTCTGCTGTGCGCTGCCTGATGTGGTTGCTGGGAACTGAATTTTGGGTCTCTGCAAGAGAGGAACCATCTCTTCTGTTCCCCTCCCCCTTTAATTTTATTTTTTTAGTTTGCTTACAAACTAGTGAGTTTCTATAAGGGTTTTTCATGCATCCTTAGTTTTGTTTAACCCACCTTCACCCTGTTTTCTTCCTTTTGGGGCAGGTCTCACAATATAGTCCAGATGATCTTTGAACTCAAAATCTCCTGCCTCTGCCTGCAATGAGTTGATATTCTAGGCATGCACCACCACATTTGACTTGTTTGTTTGGTTGGTTTTTTGTTTTGTTTTATTTTGGTTTTCGTTTTTCAAGACAGGGTTTCTCTGTGTTGCCCTGGCTGTCCTGGAACTCACTCTGTAGACCAGTCTGGCCTCGAACTCGGAAAGATCCACCTGCCTCTGTCTCCCTGAGTGCTGGGATTAAAGGCATGAACCTTTTGTTTTTGAGACTGGGTCTCATTATATAGCCCTGTCTGGCACCCAAGCTGACCTTGAACTTGGAGCCATCTGTCTGCCTCTGCCTCCCAAACTTGACTTACTGTTACTTAAACAAACAAACAACAACAACAACAAAAAAAAAAAACCCTACCAAACAATGTATAGAATATCCTAGACAATATGTCATCAAATAAACATTGGGATTGTTGTGTATCTTTATGTACTTTTTCCTTCTATATGTACAAATGCTTAATTTAGAAGACCTCTTACCTTAATCTTCACGTCACTGAGTATAAGAGATAGCCTCTATTTTCTAAGATCTAGTTTTTATCTATTTTTTAAGAATTTTTTTAGATCTTTTTAAATTTTTCTTTATGTGTTTGAGTGTTTTGCTCACATGTATGTCTGAATCGTGTGTTTTGGAACTGGAGTGATAGATAATTGTGGATGCTTCGAATCAAGTCCGGGTCTTCTGCAAGAACAAGTGCTCCTAACAGCTAAGCCACTGGTGGACTTTGTTTATTTATTTATTTATTTATTTATTTATTTATTTATTTATTTATTTTCTTCTGTTTGTGTGCGTGTATGTGTCTGGGCACTTTTACTTTTGCATATGTGTGTGAGTGTGCATGTGGAGGTCTGAGACTGATACTGGGAATCATGGTCAGATGCTCTACCTTACCATTGTTGCAGGTCTCAGTGAAACCCAGAGCTCGATCATGAGGCTGGTCTTGCTAGCTTGCTTGCTCTGGGAGTCCTTGTCCCTGCTTTCCCGGGCTAGGATTACACGTGGCCTCTGTCCACCTGGCGTTTACATGGGTTTCTGAGGGTCCAGACCTCACTTGTGCTGCAGTGCTTCAACTGTGACACTGTCTCCCAAGCTCAAGTGGGGCTTTTAAAATGTGCTCCCTTACTTCTCTTTTGTAGCCTTAATGTTATTTATGCTGTGATACGTAATGGAGATCACAGGATAACTTTTTCTCCTACCCTTACATGGGTTTCAGGGGTTAAACATCAGGCTTATGTGGCAGGAACCTTAGCCACTGAACTACTTGTAGCCCACTCCTTGAATTGTGCTGTTGACAAGAGGCAACATTTATATTTGCTCTGAACCACTGTGTACTGATGTTTGTCATAGAAATTTAATTAAATATTATATGAACGAGTAAAATACTTACAAAAACTGTTTTGCTTCTATGAAATTAGCTTAAATGCTTTGGAAAGGTTCTAAGGGGATAAGTTATCGGGGAAAATTGGTATTCAGTTAGTCTTAGATAAGCTAACTAAATGACTTGAAGAAAGTGCCTGAGATAAGGGATTATACACTTCTTGATTGGCAGATGTTTAAGGTTGCATTCTCCTTAAAATAAATACAATATGCTTTTGCTACAAAAGTCCAAGTATTCCAGTGGGCTTGTTCCTGTTCATCAGAAGATTGCTGCCTGGATGTATGTGCTTGTTAAGATGAAGTACAACAATGTATGGGATGTTTGATTCCGTCAGTAGGCTTTCAGTTAATTGACTGGTTATAGTTCCCATTCTCATTGGGCAAAAGAATGTCTTTCTCTTACAGGGACATGTGTGTGCTGTGAAAGGCAGCAGTGTGTAAATGCTTGCTTGTGAAGACTGATTCTGGAATAAGGCTGCCTGGATTCGATTCTGCCTTCTCCAGTTACTAACTTTCAGCTCTGGGCAAGTTATCATTTAATTTGTCTCTGTGGCATAGTTTCTTTGTGGACTAATAATATTATCCATCTCACAAGGTTACTTTGATGTTTAAATGTTAATATAGCTGAAGTATTGGCAAATATTAAATATCCGAATGTTAAGCATTATTTTTAATTAATTAATCAATTTGAGACAATGTCTCCCCATGTTACAGAGTAAATGGCTAACCTGGAACTTGCTATGTATACCAGGCTGGCCTGGACTTACGAGGAGCCACCTGCCACTACCTACCAGTGCAGTTTTTACCACCATGATGTTTATGGACAAATACGTTTTCTTTATTTTTTCTTTCTTTTTTTTTTTGTTTGGTTACCACAAATAATGCTGCAGTGTATATCCTTGTACATAGAGACTTATCCCATTTTCAGTAAACTCAGCTATGGTTATAGGCACTGGATACAGTAGTCTACTCAGCACAGGTCTTACACTGGTGAAACTCCCATTCTAGTAGGGAGAGACAGGCCGAAGTCAGCAAATGAAACATGATGGCCACTGGGTGTTGAGCACGCTGAGAAGGTCGGGAATTTAGAGGAAGGGCTTTCATTTAAGGGAATTCCTCACTTGGATAAAAGTTTCTAGATAGTGAAGGGCTTTGTAGTTATTGTGTGATGAGAACTGTGATTTGACCCCAGAAATGAATAGCTTTATCTCTGTCCAGAGGTGAGTGGAGGAGTTATAGGCAGGTGACCATTAGTATCTGATGTGAATTGGTTTCAAGAGTTCCCACTGATACCAAATTCTAAAGATGCTCAGATTCCTTATATAAAATGTTTGTGTTTGTATATAATCAAAATATATCTTCCTGTATGCTTTATAATATAATAATAAATGTTACAGAAATAGTTGTATTGTTAAAGAAATAATGAGCCAAAAATGTTTACATGTACATGTTTGGTATATTTTTTCTTTTTTTGGGGGGGGGGAGGGGGGGCCGCAGGGTTAGGGATTAGCCCAGTGCCTCACATCTGATTACACCTTGAGATTTAAAAGTGGCCAGGTGGTGGTGGCGCACGCCTTTAATTCCAGCACTCAGGAGACCGAGCCAGACAGATCTCTGTGAGTTCGAGGCCAGCCTGGTCTATAGAGTGAGATCCAGGACAGGCACCAAAACGACATAGAGAAACTCTGTCTTGAAAAAACAAAAAACAAAATAAAACTGTAATCTGATACTGCTTGAACATTATTGAATTTATTTTGACCAAGGTTCCAAATAAACAAATAAGTTCTGTTGTTGGTTAATTGAGGTTTGACCTGGAAGTCGAGCTCTGTTCCCGAACTCTCCTGTCACTGGCACCACCTTTTTGGCTCCTATTAATTTGTTTTAAACTGCTGACAAGTAGGGTCGTTAGAAATAACTATGTGGCAGGTTTGGGTTTTGGTGCTTTGGGTGGGTTTTTTTCCTCCCACCAGGGAGCCAAGGGCTTCCACTCTGTCGGGCAAGTGCTCCTACTAGTAAAGTTCCTTATCACCTCTTCCTGAAGGTAGGCTCATAAGGAGAGAAGAGAATAACAAAGATGACAGTTGTCTCATTTCCTCATCCACAGGGCAGAGAGAGAAAATGTGGGAGGAAGGCTCCAAGGAGCGGGTGTCCTCAGGGAAAAGGAAAGTTTCAGTTAGACCAGGAAAGTGAAGGATGTTGCCACTCTAGAGGCTGAGAATCCACCTCGTATTGGTACATTTTGTTCTCCTATGACAGAATACCCAAGATGGGTAATTTATAAGGAACAAAGATTTGTTTCTTCCAGTCCTAGGGGCTGAGAAGTCCAAGTTTGAAAGATCTGTACTGTCAAGAGCCTATGCATTTCGTCACTCTATGGCACACCGTGGAAGGATAAGAGAACATGAAAGAAACACACACACCCGTAATCTCAGTTCTTGGGAGGCGAAGGTAAGAAGATGAGTTCAAGGCCAGCCTCTTGTGCTAAGCAAGTTCAGGGGCTGGGCTCCTTAAGACCTAGTCAGCTTTGAAGATGGATCCTAAGTTGCAGTGAGATTTCAGGATGTTGGAGATGACAGTACTGTGGGACATCTGCCAAGGTAGCTGCAGGAAGAGGGGGGCTGGCCCAAGAGAGGCCAGGCCCAAATGAGGGGCCATGTGTGTTGCAGCTGCAGAACTAGAGAGGTGGGTATGTCCAGGCCCGTTGGAGCCCAGACCAAGAGACCTAGATCCTAGACATAGAGATGTAGGATTTGTTTGGATCTTGCTTTGGCTTAATAATTCTTTCTTGTGACTCCATTTTTCCCTTTTTGAATGAATTTTTTTTTTTTTCTGTGCCATTGTATATTGGAAATACAACTTTTTTTTGTGGGGGGGGCTTTCGAGACAGGGTTTCTCTGTGTAGCTTTGCGCCTTTCCTGGAACTCACTTGGTAGCCCAGGCTGGCCTCGAACTCACAGAGATCCGCCTGCCTCTGCCTCCCGAATGCTGGGACTAGAGGCGTGCGCCACCACCGCCTGGCCCAACTTTTCTTTTTTTATTGTAGGGTGACTCATAGTTAAGAGATTGTCTGGGGACTGGAGAGATGGCTCAGTGATGTAAGAGCACTGACTGCTCTTCCAGAAGACCCGGGTTCAATTCCCAGCACCCACAGGACAGCTCACAACTATCTGTAACTCCAGTTCCAGGGGACCTGACACCCTGACACAGACATATGTGTAGGCAAAACACCAATGCACACAATATAAAAATAAATAAATTAAAAAAAAGAGAGATTGCCTGGTGTCTCACAATAGAATTTGGATTCTTGTTTTTTGAACAGTGTTAAAACTGTTAAGATTTGGAGGAGATTTTTTATTTGTGGGGTTTTTTGTTGTTGTTGTTGTTGTTGTTTTGGTTTGCTTTGCTTTGCTTTGCTTTTTTTGTTTTTGTTTTTGTTTTGTTTTTCAAGACAGGGTTTCTCTGTGTAAAAGCCCTGGCTTTCCTGAAATTCACTTTGTAGATCAGGCTAACCTTAAGACTCATAGAGGTCCACCTGTGTCTGCCCCCTGAATGCTGGGATTAAAAGTGTACACCACCACTCCCAGCTGAGATGGAAGGCTTTTACAGCTGAGTTAAATTCATTATGTAATTAAAAAAATATTTTAGTTACATGGGTATTTTGCTTGCATGTATGTCTGTATACCATGTGTGTACCTGGTGCCCTTGGAGGACTGAAGAGGGCATTAGCTCCTCTGGAAACTGGAGTTACAGATGATTGAGAGCTGCCATGTGGGTGCTGGGAATGGGGCTCAGGTCCTCTGCAAGAGCAGTCAGTGCTTTTACTACTGAGCTGTCTCTCCAGCCTCCTGAGTGTATTTTGCATTAGAGGTGAACATGAAACTGTGGGGACTTAAGTGGAATGTTATTATTTAAAGTGATGTGTTTGCATGGACTTATGGGTCTCACTGTTTATTAGCAGTTTGACTAGATTTGGGATCACCTAGGAAACAACCTCCAAAGTGTGTCTATGAGGCTGTTTCTAACTGAGAAGGAAAGGCTCATAGGATGGATCCCAGGCTGAATGAAAAGAGAGAGGAAGCCAGCTGTGCATCAGTTGGTCTTTCTCTTGACTGCAGATGCAGTCATGATGGACTGTGTCCCCTCAAACCGTTAGCAACATTCACCTCCTCCCTAGTTTTTGTCTGGTGTTGGTCACAGCAACAAGAAGGTAAATAACACAAATGTGTACCTGATGTTTTTCACATGCATAGAATTAAACCCAATTTTAGGATTGAAAGTATTCATTTTTAAATGTTAATGTTTTGGATCTGGAGAGATAGCTTAGTGGTTAAGAACACTGGTGCCTTCCAGAGGACCTGGGTTTAATTTCCAGCTCCCATAAGGTACCTTACAACCATCTGTAACCCTAGTCCCTAGGAACTTGAAGCCCTCTTATTGCTTTTGTGGGCACTGCATAGACATGGTGCACAGGCAGGCATGCAGGCAAAACGCCGTATACTTAAAAAATAAAGATTAAATTTTTCCCCACATTGTTTTTTTTTTCCTCCCGCTTAAAATTTAAAAGCTTATTTTGAAACATACAGAAGCATATTTTTACAGAAGGGGAGGTTGAAAGTAGGGAAAGCTGGCTCTGGGAATACTTTTCATTCTGAGCAGAAGACTCATTTTAAGGCTGGGTGGTGGCGGACACCTTTAATCTCAGCACTCCGGAGGCAGAGCCAGGTGGATCTCTGTGAGTTAGAGGCCAGCCTGGACTACAGAGTGAGATCCAGGACAGGCACCAAAAGTACACAGAGAAACCCTATCTCGGAAAACAAAAAAAAAAAAAAAAAAAAAAAAAGACTCACCTTTAGAGGACTGTGGCCAAGGTCACAGTGCTTTTGCGCTTCACTTTGGTGAACTACCTCCAATGAAAGGACACCTGAGTAGGAATTAAGGGAAACACGATTTCACTTGACTTTCCCCAAAGTTTACTGTAGTGCTTGACGTTTTAAGCAAGTTCAGGTTCATCTCCCAACACTTTACAAATGCCTTTATGATACACCTTGTCATCATTGTTGAACTGCTAGATGATGTAAAACTCTGAGCCTAAAAAGGATGCCTACCATTACCAGTCTAGTGAGTGGTGAAGTGATGGGAAGAGTTGAGGACTCCAGCGTCCCCAACTTTCTCAACGAGCTCAACTTATTCCAACTAGTTTTAAGAGTGGTGTAGATTTATTTCTGGAAACATGCGTGCATCCATGTGTGGGAGCATGGGAGCGAGGTATACATGCTAAGCAAACACTCTGATGAGCAATATTCCTAGTATTCATTTAGTATTTTTTTATTGTTTTTATTTTATGCTTATTGATGTTTTGCCTGCATGTATGTCTGTCTGAGGGTGTCAGAAGCCCTGGAACTGGAGTTACAGACAGGTGTGAGCTGCCATGTAGGTGCTGGGAATTGAACCTGGGTCCTCTGGAAGAGCAGGCAGTGCTCTCAGCTGCTGAGCCATCTCTTCAACCCCCTCATGTAACATTTTTAAGGAGATTCAAATATTTGTGAAACTTTTGGATACAATGAAATACAAAATATTTAAGAAGCCACTACAAATACATATACTTGTCTCTTGATTGACATTTGGCATTTGACTTAACATCTAAAGGGCTAACCAGGGATTTCCAATCTGATTCTTAGAAAAAGAAACAAAACAAACAAAAACAAAACAAAACAAAACTTCAAGGACTGTTAATGGTGGTTTTTTGTTTTGTTTTGTTTTGGATTTTTTTATTTTTTTATTTTTTATTTTGAGATACAGTCTCACTGTATTACCATAGCTGGTCTAGACTTCAAAAAATCTGCCTGCCTGTCTCCTGAGCTCTGAGATTAAAGGTGTGTGCCATCATGACTGGCTAATAGTGTTCTTCTTAAAAAAGATTTTTCAGCTGGACTGTAGTGGCAAAAGCCTTTAGTCCCAGCACTGAGGAGACAGAGGCAGATGGATCTCTGAGTTTAAGGCCAGCCTGGTCTATAGAGCAAGTTCCAGGACAGCCAGAGCTACACAGAGAAACCCTGTCTCTGGAAAAAAATAAATAAATAAACTAAAACAAAACCAAAGAAGTATGGTAGCGGTGGTGGATTTTCCCTATGTAAAGTTGTAGGTTAAATTTTCTTTCTTTTTAAAAACAGGACCTTTCAAATTTCAAAGTGTTTTAAAATACTTTATTTCTGAAGCCAAGATGGGCTAGTCTCTGTGAGTTTGAGACCAGTCTGGTCTACAAAGGGAGCTCCAAGCCAGCCAAAGTCACCTGGAGAGAGAAGCTGTAAGCTTGCAGCGTTTTCTCCTTAATATTTTAAACCTATTTTATGTGTGTGAATGTTTTAACTGAATATTTGTGTGAGCCATATGTGTGCCTTGTGCCTGCATAGATCAGAAGAAGGCATTGAATTCTCTGGAACGGAAGTTCTGCTTGTTGTCATCCACATGTAGCTTTGCACCTGTCCTGGAACTCACTCTGTAGCCCAGGCTGTTCTTGAACTCACAGAGATCCACCTGCCTATGCCTCCTGAGTGCTGGGATTAAAGGCGTGCGCCACCGCTGCCCGGCTAAGAACAGGTGTTCTTAACTGCTGAGCCAACTGTCCAGCCCCACATTTTCTAGTCTTAGTTGATTGCAAACCATTTGGTAATTGAGTAAAATTATATGAACATATTTGTTGATTCTGGGCATAAAGAAGAAAAATTTCTTTCTTTTGTTTCTTTCTCTCTCTCTCTCCTCTTTCTTTATCTCTTTTTCTTTCTTTTTCTTCAAGGTTTCTTTTGTAGCCCTGGCTGTCCTAGAACTTGTTCTATAGAACAAGCTGGCCTTGAACTCAGAGATCCACCTCCCTCTACCTGTGCTGAGATTAAAGGCATCCACCACCACCGTCCAGCTAAATTATCGTATTTTCAATAAACATTCAAATTTTCTGAATTAAGAATTGGGAGCTTGTTTTCAAACATGAGTATCAAATAATGGGAGGCATTGTTGCTTCAGAGAACCTGGACTTTGGAAGTTGTTCTAGCTTTCACTCTTACCGAGTGTTACTGGCCAGGCAGTGTAACCTTTGGATACTTGGCTTTCCTTTTTGGTTGTTTGGTTGGTTTTTGTTTTTGAGACAGGGTTTCTCTGTGAAACAGTCCTGGCTATCTTGAAACTCACTCTGTAGACCAACCTGGCCTCGAACTCACAGAGTTCAGCCTGTCTCTGCCTCCTGAGTGCTGGGATTTAAGGTGTTCGCCACCACTGCCCAGCGGCTTTCTTGTTGTTAAAAATGAGGGTTTTTACACACACAGTTGCTTATTACCCAGTGTAGGTGTTTAGTAGGTGGGAACTGATGAGAACTAAATGTAAATAGTGAAGGTCTCTAAGAGCTTTAGTTGGAGCTCAAAGCCTAGTAGTCATCACTTTCTGAATGGACTTTAAAT